TAAGTGCGTCGCGAAGACATCTCTTTCTATCTGTGTTTCGCTACGGTATGGAAAGTTCTCGCTCGTGTAGTTCTCCCGTTTCTCTCGCGATATCCAGGAAATTCTATGATTTTCTCGTGCGTGTTCCGGACGTGTAGTGCTGTGACCTAGTGAAGTGCACACCCGAGTGTCCTCTGGATACGGTTCTCCGCCTTCTCGGATTAGCTGCTCCAGCTTCGGTGAGTACTCCCAATTTATTAATTATATAGGAACAATGTCAAAAGTCAAAGATAGGGCCACGTACAAGGAATCCCCGTTCTTGGATTCTGAATATACGCGAAACTTCACCTTCGGTGGGCTGTATCGCGCAAACGGTTGGATCTACGGTTTTCTCGTTGAAATTTTTAGGGATCCCGTAGCGCAGAAACTCAGAATGATTCATAGAATAGAATAGAGATAGGGCCACGCAGAACTATTGTTAAAACCTGTCAGGAACTATAGAACTCCTCGACAAGTTTTGAAAAAGCCTATTGTTGAAACATTATTTTCGGCTTTTTAAATAGTTATCAAGGAGTTCTATAGTTCCTGATAGGTTTTAACAATCGTTCTGCTACGTAACATCGTTAAAATACCTATTAAGGATACTAGTCGCACCATATGCTTCAGTGCAGGTATGTATAAGAAGCTGGCTTTCAGTGTTGTTTTCAAGTTGTGTTTCAAACAGTTCCGGAATAGTTCTCTCTCAATAGTTGTCAATGTTGGGACCATAGTTGCGCCTGGAACTATTGTTAAATAATGCTGGAATCTAGCACCGCATCGCTGCACTCCTTAACGCAAGCAGGCATCAGGTGCTGGCTTTTGTCTTATTAAATCTTATTGAGCTTACACTGTGCAGTCGAATTTAAGATTACAAAAAAAAATATTTTGGGAATATCTGGTGAGCGGCCGCGTTCTAAGGGTTGCTCTGGGAGCCAGCGGTAAGTTGCGGAGAACCTCTGCCCTCCAAGCTATTCGTTCGTGATCACGTTCAGCTCGGCTACGACAGGACATGCTTTATCGACGGAGGCGATGATCACAAAATCCTATTCCTGGACTCGCCGCTACGATTTAGCGCCATGTTTTTAGTATCATCTAAAACCGTAGCGTTGTGCATCTCCCTACTCATCTCTGGTAAAAGTGACGGTAAGTCCCAGTAAGTCCGAACCGCCATGGATTGAGAAGCTACTCGGTCGTTCGGCTGACTTATTTTTTTTAGTTTTTCTACATTTTTCAAGAATATATCCAAAGTCCAATAAGCCAAAGCAATATTTCAGAGATTAGCTAGGACAGTCTCAGCAGATGTTGCTGATCATGATGTCTCACTTAAAATTCTTAATTCTCTTTCTGTGCTTGACATCTGTCTTAACCTTTTCTACCAAAAAGAGCATGAATTCAAGTGAGAATTTGATCGATCGCGTAGGACCTATTCAAGAGACCAATTTGACAATGAATTCAACCTCTGTAACATATGATCCCACGGTTGTCGCGTCAGCACCGACCAAGGAAATCGCGGCTGTAAGTACATATGTACCCATATGGGACCCTCCTTCCTATCCTGCCTATCCTGGTTACTACCATCCGTCGTCTCTCGAACATAAATTTTGAATGACATGACTTATGAAATCATGAATATTGTTTTTCATTTCATTTTATCTTTTTTCTTTTCATAGAATCACACAATTAATAAATATATTTTGGCCGAAGGAGGTCCTGTACCTGTTCCAAAATCATCAAGCTTGGAGAATACTGCCTTGGCTGATGGTGTAAATTTATCTTTTCGGAATTTGACACACTTTACCAGGGAAAATACATCCAATGAAGAAAATACCAAACCTTCTGTGGTACCTAGAAAGGGTGTGGAACCAAAGGTAGTCCCATGGAAATGGGCTGGAAGAATGTCAGATCCTTTGGCTAGCAGTATGGAAGAATCAGAACCTGATAAGAACTTAAATCAAAATGTATCAGAAGACACAACAATTTCTAGCAACATGGGTTCTTTTGTTTCAAAAGAATATAAGTTTCGCAATAATATAACAGATTTAAACTCAACGAGAATATTTTCAACAACTAATTTTAAAGAAGTCAACAAGACTATCGAGGCTGGAGTAGTGACACCTCAAATAAATGCTACTCAAGCACCCAAGAGACACAAGCCTAAACCCACAGCAACAGTAGGTGGATCAGATGAGGATAAACCAATACCAGCTTCACCTACAAAAACTTCCCCTCTTGGGATGCCAAGGAAAATTGATTATATCGTACCGGTGGTGATTACGATTATGGCAGTACCTCTGCTGGGCCTTGCTGCGTTTGTCCTCTACAGGAGGGGAAGAGACTGCTGGGACAAGAGGCACTACAGAAGAATGGATTTTCTGATCGACGGCATGTACAATGATTGGAGTTCAAAGGGACATGCATTTCCTGACTCAGAGTAGCGTCTAATGTCGTGTCATCTTGAGGTTGCACTGAATACTGCTCGAATTTATATTGAATTTTCGAAAGCTTAGAGAGAATTCGCACTTTGCTGGTGAATCTTTGCCCAATTTCTAAGTTGTTGGTGCTCTAAACAATGCTGAATGATGTTTAACAATGTTAATACCTTTTCAAAGATGAAAAATTGATAGGAACAAGCCATTAGTTAACTAAAGCGAAATGTTTGGTATGTGATAAAGTTTTCGAGCAACTGTTTTTTACGCGTAAATGCTTTTATACGGTTCTACACGTACGAATTGCCGATAACTAATAATAGTATTGTATATTTGATTAGCGCAGAATATTCAAAGACTACTTCATATTGCCGTTTCTTTTTTCTTTTTTTTTTTTTTAAATAGCTCCTCTCGAATGTCGAGAATCTTTACGATAACAATGCCTCAACCGGCCCGTAGCCATTTAGCGCTACTTACATCAACCACTGATTGCACTGATCTTGCAATATTTCCAACAGAGTCAGTAAAAATTTCATTGGGGG